ACAAAAGTCCATGGGCTCCGAATTTGCAGTGGATTGTGTAGCTAGTCCTCAGTTCTGCGTTTCTGACTTTGTCTCATCCATCCCTCCTCCAGGCCGCCATGCTTGCTTCCTAGGCCACGGTCATGGCCTCCGCACAAGCACCCAGACACCCATCCAGTCTCTCTAGCTGGCACCAATCTGGTCTTTCATACAAAGAGGAAAAATAATACATAAAGCCATTGGCAAAGAACTCAACAACAAAACAATTCTCCTTCAGCACAGGTCAGGCTTTGGAGTTGGATGTGCTGACCAGAAAGATCTCGACGATACTGTGGTTTAAAGTACATGGCATGGACGGGCACAGTGGCTCACACCCGTAATCTCAGCTCTTTGGGAGGCCGAGGTGGACAGTCACTTGGGGTGAGGAGTTCAAGACCAGACTGGCCAATATGGAGAAATCCTGTCTCTACTAAAAATACAAAAACAACAACAACAACAAAAATCAGCTGGGCGCGGTGACGGGCACCAGTAATCCCAGCTACTTAGCAGGCTGAGGCAGGTGAATCGCTGGAACCCAGGAGATGGAGCTTGCAGTGACTGAGATCGAACCACTGCACTCCAGCCTGGACAACAGAGTGAGACTCTGCCTCAAAATAAAATAAAATAAAATACAAATGAACTGCACTCCAGCCTGGGTGATGGAGTGAGACTCTGTCTCAATAAATAAATAAAGTAATAAATAAATAAATAATAGGGCTGAGTGCAGGGGCTCATGCCTATAGTCCTAGCACTTTGGGAGCCCAAGGCAGGAGGATCACTTGAGGTTAGGGGTTCAAGAGCAGCCTGGCCAACATGGCGACACCCCACCTGTACTAAAAAGTACAAAAAAATAGCTGGGCATCGGGGCAGGTGCCTGTAATCCCAGCTGCTCCAGAGGCTGAGGCAGGAGAATCGCTGGAACCCAGGAGGCAGAGGTTGCAAGGAGCCGAGATCATGCCGCTACACTCCAACCTAGTAACAGAGCCAGCTTCCACCTCAAAATAATAAGAATAATAAAGTAGGAATAAATGTAATTACTCTCAGCAGCTCACTAATGATGAGCATCCAGGGCCCCCGGGTGGCTGGCGCATTCACCACAGTGCGGGAATTCCCATGCAGCTTCCCTGGCACGTGAGTCCCTGGCACGGCTCGGATACATCTGGAGCCCAGGCCACCACCTGCAAGCACACAGCACCGCCCTCTCTGCTCTTGAGAAAGATACCTTCCCCAACAATGCTGTTCATACCAAGAATTTCCTCAGAGCTGCAAGCCATTATCCTAAGAGAATGAACACAGAAACAGAAAAGCAGATGCTGCAGGTTCTCACTTACACCTAGAAGCTACACACCGGGTCCTCACGGACACAAAGATGAGAACAACATAAAGATGGGAAGAACAGGCCGGGCATATTTGCTCACACCTGTAATCCCAGCACTTTTGGAGGCCGAGGTGGGTGGATCACCTGAGGTCGGGAGTTCGAGACCAGCCAGGCCAACATGATGAAACCCGTCTCTACTGAAAATACAAAAAATTAGCTGTGCATGGTGGCACACACCTGTAATCCCAGCTACTCAGGTGGTTGAGGCAGGAGAATCGCCTGAACCCTGGAGGAGGAGGTTGCAGTGAGCTGAGATCGTACCATTGCACTCCAGCCTGGGCAATAAGAGCAAAATTCTGTCTCAAAAATAAATAAATAATACATACACATATACCTATATGCAAATACACATGTGATGTATACAATCACATGTGTACATATGAATATATAGGTATACATGCAAAGTCATAGGTACATGTGCATACAATATTTTCTTTTACATATATGTGAAAGAAAAGTACAAATTGATAGGCATTTGAAAATGCATCTGTGCATGCAAAGACGTGAACACACATATGTACATGCAAACATCCATCTCAATAAGTGTATACCTTTCAATGAATTGTGCATATATGCAGTTACCCAAGTGCATGGCAATATAAACACATTCACAAATACATATGCATATGTCTATGAATATGTGTGCCTGCATTTACATGTACAGTATATGTGCAGATACACATAGAATTCCTGATACACAACGTGCATATGTATGCATATCTATATCATGCATGTACATATATGTATATATATATACGTATGTATATATACACATTTGCATTGATATCCAAGCAAGCTGGTCTGCTCTAAGTACAAGACAATATGGTTCATGCGTGTTTCTAGAACGAGTCATCTTTGAGGTCATGTCCCCACGGCAAGGACGTCAGAGCAGGCACTCAGCCAGGCTTTGCCTGACAGGGGTGGGGCGTTCTGCGTCTGGGAGATAGAATCTGCCAAGCACAGAGCCTCCGGTGGTAACTGTTTATAGAATCAGGGCCAGTAGGGCTGCCCTGTGATCCGTGGTGAAGATCGGCCATGTTTATACTGAGGTCAGCATTTCCCAGAGGACATCTGAGCAATTTGTTTGTGGGACACTCTGAAGAGGGAGTGCCATAGCAGCAATTCGTTTTTTTGTTTTTTTTTTTTAAATCAAATGTGTTTTATTTTTTTATTATACTTTAAGTTCTGGGGTACATGCGCAGATCATGCAGGTTTGATGCCTAGTTCTACACGTGCCTGGTGGTTTACTGCATCCATCCCACCATAATTTACATTAGGTATTTCTCCTAATGCTCTCCCTCCCCAATCCCCCACCCCCCTGCTATCCCTCCCCTAGTCCCCCACCCCGACAGGCCCCAGTATGTGATGTTCCCCTCCCCGTGTCCATGTGTTCTCATTGTTCAACTCCCACTTATGAATGAGAACATGCGGTGTTTGATTTTCTGTTCTTGTGTCTGTTTGCTGAGAATGATGGTTTCCAGCTTCATCCATGTCCTTGCAAAGGACATGAATTCATCCTTTTTCATGGCTGCATAGTATTCCATGGTGTCTCTGTGCCACATTTTCTTTATCCAGTCTATCACTGATGGGCATTTGGGTTGGTTCCTGGTCTTTGCTATTTTGAACAGTGCCACCATATTCTTGTCCAGATTTTTATTTTTGGAGACAGGATCTTTGTCGCCCAGGCTGTGGTGCAGTGGCTCAATCTCAGCTCACTGCACCCTCCGCTTTGGGCTCAAGCAATCCTCCCACCTCAGCCTCTCGAGTAGCTGGGACTACAGACAAGCACCACCACAGCCAGCTAACTTCTTGTATTTTTGGTACAGAAAGTGTTTCAGTATGTTGCCCAGGCTGGTCTCAAACTCCTGACCTCAAACGATCTGCCCTCCTCACTTGCCCAAAGGCTGGGATTACATGTGTGAGCCACCACACCCAGCCACCCAGAGTTACTCATTGTTCAGGGGAACCCATTTGGTGACTTCGAAGATTCTCACTCTGTGTGTGTGTGTTACTGTATTATCATTGTGCCTTTTTTTGTTTGTTTTTTTGAGACAGAGTTTGCTCTTGTTGCCCAGGCTGGAGTGCAATGGTGCAATCTCAGCTCACCGCAACCTCTGCCTCCTGGATTCAAGCTATTCTCCTTCCTCAGCCTCCCAAGTAGCTGGGATTACAGGCATGTGCCACCATACCTGGCTAATTTTTGTATTGTTTAAGTAGAGATGGGGTTTGTCCATGTTGGTCAGGCTGGCCTCGAACTCCCAACCTCAGGTGATCTGCCCACCTCAGAAAGTGCTGGGATACAAGCGTGAGTCCCTGCACCCTGCTGTGGCTATTATTTTTAAACTCAAGGCATAGAGATGCAGAGATGGAAAGCAAGGAGGGACTTCAGTGATCTTCTAGAATGTTCCTCACCACATGGAAAGCAGGAAGCAGAGGCTCAGGAGGAAGACATGGCAGCCAGCTCTAGACTCTCTGATGTCCTGGGGCATTTGTGCATCCTGGGAATCTGTCAGTGAGGTTTCTCCACTGTCTCCCCAATCTAACTCCCTCTGATATTCCCTCTTGTGCAGCTGGGGTGATGATGGTCCCTCAGAGGAAGACCAGAGATGGATTCGAGGAACATTTCGGCCTGAACTACCTGGGACACTTCCTGCTGACCAACCTTCTCCTGGATACCCTGAGAGAGTCCGGGTCCCCTGGCCACAATGCGAGGGTGGTCACTGTCTCCTCTGCCACCCATTACGTTGCTGAGCTGAACATGGACGACCTTCAGAGCAGGTAGGTGCACCCTGTGAATGGTCATAACAGCGTCTGTCCCGGGGGGGGAGGTAAAGGTTACTGGTCCCCTGTGTCTGGGGGGTGCGGTACTGCCTGCATCTGCTGGACACGGTTGCTCTAGGGACAGGGCTCCCTGCATCTGCTGGACACTGGTGCTTTGGGGACGGTGCTCCCTGTGTCTGCCGGGCAGTGGTGCTCCCTGCATGTGCTGGACACTGGTGCTCTGGGGACGCTGCTCCCTGCATGTGCTGGACACCGGTACTCTGGGGACAGTGCTCCCTGTGTCTGCTGGGCAGTGGTGCCCTCTGCATGTGCTGGACAGCGGTGCTCTTGGGAAGTGCTCCGTGTGTCTGCTGGGCAGTGCTGCTCCCTGCGTCTGCTAGGCACAGGTGCTCTGGGAATGGTGCTCCCTGCATGTGCTGGGCACAGGTGCTCTGGGGACAGTGCTCCCTGTGTCTGCTGGGCAGTGATGCTCCCTGCATCTGCTGGATACCGGTGCTCTGGGGACGGTACTCCCTGTGTCTGCTGCGCGGTGGTGCTCCCTGCATCTGCTGGGCACAGGAGCTCTGGGAATGGTGCTCCCTGTGTTTGCTGGGCACTGGTGCTCTGGGGATGGTGCTCCCTGTGTCTGCCGGGCAGTGGTGCTCCCTGCGTCTGCTGGACAGTGGTGCTCTGGGAACAATGCTCCCTGTGTCTGCTGGGCAGTGATGCTCCCTGCATCTGCTGGACACCGGTGCTCTGGGGACAGTCCTCCCTGGGTCTGCTGGGCAGTGGTGCTCTGGGGACAATGCTCCCTGTGTCTGCCGGGCAGTGATGCTCCCTGCATCTGCTGGACATCGGTGCTCTGGGGACGGTGCTCCCTGTGTCTGCCGGGCAGTGGTGCTCCCTGCATCTGCTGGACAGTGGTGCTCTGGGGACACTGCTCCCTGTGTCTGCTGGGCAGTGGTGCTCCCTGCATCTGCTGGACACCAGTGCTCTAGGGACGATGCTCCCTATGTCTGCTGGGCAGTGGTGCTCCCTGCATGTGCTGGACACTGGTACTCTGGGGATAGTGCTCCCTGTGTCTGCCAGGCACTGGTGCTCTGGGGATGGTGCTCCCTGTGTCTGCCTGGCAGTGGTGCTCCCTGTGTCTGTTGGACAGCAGTGCTCTGGGGACAGTGCTCCCTGTGTGCGCTGGGCAGTGGTGCTCCCTGCATCTGCTGGACACTGGTGCTCTGGGGACAATGCTCCCTGTGTCTGCCAGGCACTGGTGCTCTGGGGACGGTGTTCCCTGTGTCTGCTGGGCAGTGGCGCTCCCCGTATCTGCTGGACACAGGAGCTCTAGGGATAATGCTCCCTGTGTCTGCTGGGCAGTGGTGGTCCCTGCATCTACTGGGCACAGGTGCTCTCGGCACAATGTTCCCTACGTCTGCCGGGCAGAGGTGCTCAGAGTGTGATGCTCCCTGCATCCTTGCTATCAGCACTCCCTGCAGGACCGCGTAGACCTCCCGCCTCCGGCTCCATGCTGAAGGATTTACCTGGGATCCCCTAGCAAGAAGAACAGCCCTGCCATACCTGGCTTCCCTAACCCCAGGCCTGAGGCAGGGCTGGGCGCGTGGCGGGCAAGCCTTCAGTGATGGCCGCTGGGGGCTCCAGGCATGTGTGTGCTGCCTGCTGTACAGGAGGGCCTGGCAGGAGGGAGGAGGGGTATCCGCACAGCCAGCAGCGCATGCTGCAGACAGGAGTCACTGAGCAACGCACGGACTGGGACAGGGAACCCGGGGCACGTGGGATGCGGAACCTGGGGAATGTGGGACTGGGAACACCGGGAATGTGGGACGCGGAACCCGGGGCACGTGGGATGCGGAACCGGGGGCATGTGGGAAGGGGAACCCGGGGCACGTGGGATGCGGAACCGGGGGTATGTGAGAAGGGGAACCTGGGGAATGTGGGACGGGGAACACCGGAAATGTGCCACGCGGAACCCAGGGCACGTGGGATGCGGAACCCAGGCAATGTGGGACCGGAAACCCTGGAAATGTGGGATCCGGAACCTGGGGCATGTGGGATGGGAAACCCGGGGCATGCGCCACGCGGAACCCGGGGAATGTGCCACGCGGAACCCAGGGCACGTGGGATGCGGAACCCAGGGAATGTGCGACGGGAAACCCGGGGCATGTCGGTTGCGTAACCCGGGGAATGTGGGACGGGGAACCCCGAAAATGTAGGACACGGTACCCAGGGAATGTGGGACGCGGCACACCGGGAATGTGGAACAGGGTACCCGGGGCCTGTGGGACGCGGAACCTGGGGCATGTGGCATGGGAAACCCGGGGAATGTGGGACGGGGCACACCGGGAATGTGCCACGCGGAACCCGCGGCGCGTGGGATGCGGAACCCGGGGAATGTGGGACAGGGCACACCGGGAATGTGGGATGCGGAACCTGGAGCATGTGGGATGCGAACCCGGGGAATGTGGGACGGGGAACCAGGGGAATGTGGGACGGCAAACACCGAGAATGTGCCACGCGGAACCCCAGGCATGTTGGACAGGTTACACAGGGAATGTGTGACGCGGAACTCGGGGCATGTGGGACGCGGCACACCAGGGCATGTGGGACGGGGAACACGGGGCATGTGGGACGGTGCACACCGGGAATGCTGGATGGGGACCCCGGGGAATGTGGGACGGGGAACACCAGGAATGTGCCACGCGGAACCTGGGGCACGTGGGATGCCTAACCCGGGGAATGTGGGATGCGGAACCCGGGGAATGTGTGATGTGGAACCCGCGGCATGTGAGACGGGGATCCAAGGGAATGTGGGACTCGGAACCCGGGGCATGTGGGAAGGGGAACCCCAGGGCATGTCGGAAGGGGAGCCCTGGGGCATGTGTGATGGGAACCCAGAGCATGTGGGAAGGGAACCCTGGGCATGTGCGACGGGTAGCCCGGGGAGTGTGGAACATTGAACCTCTGGGCATGTCGGAAGGGGAACCCTGGGGCATGTGGGACAGGGAACCCGGGGCATGTGGGACCGGGAACCTGGGCAATGTGGGACAGGGAACCCCGGGGCATGTGGAACATTGAACCTCCGGGCATGTGGGAAGGGGAACACCAGAAATGTGCCATGCGGAACCTGGGGAATGTGGGACGGGGAACACCGGGAATGGGGGACTCGGAACCCGGGGCACGTGGGATGCGGAACCGGGGGCATGTGGGAAGGGAAACCCGGGGAATGTGGGACAGGGAACCAGAGGAATGTGGGACGGCAAACACCGGGAATGTGCCACGCGGAACCCGGGGCACGTGGGATGCGGAACCTCAGGCATGTTGGACAGGGAACCCGGGGCATGGGTGACGCGGAACCCGGGGCATGTGGGACGCAGCACACCGGGGCATGTGGGACGTGGTACACCTGGGCATGTGGGAAGGGGAACCCGGGGCGTGTGTGAAGGGGAACTCGGGGCGTGTGGGACGGGGAATACCGGGAATGTGCCACATGGAACCCAGGGAATGTGGGACGGGGAACACCGGGAATGTGCCACGCGGAACCCGGGGCACGTGGGATGCGGAACCCGGGGAATGTGGGATGGGGCACACTGGTATTGTGGGACACAGAACCCGGGGCATGTGAGACAGGGCACACCAGGCATGTGGGACGGGGAACCTGGGTCATGTGGGACGGGGAACCCTGGGAATGTGGGACTCGGAACTAGGGGCATGTGGGACGGGGAACCCGGGGAATGTGGGACGCGGAACCCGCGGCATGTGGGACGGGGAACATCAGAAATGTGCCACGTGGAACCCGGGGCACGTGGGATTCGGACCCCAGGGAATGTGGGACGCGGAACCCGGGGCACGTGGGATGCGTAACCTGGGGAATGTGGTACTGGGAACACTGGGAATGTGGGAAGGCGAACCAGGGAATGTGGGATGGGGAACCCGGGGAATGTGGAATGTCGTTCCCTGGGGAATGTGGGACGGGGAACCCCGGTATTCTGGGGCGGGGAACCCAGGGAATGTGGGATGGGGAACCCAGGGGTGTGACCTGCCTGTCAGGTATTCCTGCTCGCCAAAGACAACCCGGGAATGTTGGACGCGGAACCCGGGGCATGTGGGACGCAGAACCCGGGGCATGTGGGATACGGAGCCTGGGGCATGTGGGATGCAGAACCCGGGGCATGTGGGATGCGGAACCCCGGGCATGTGGGATGAGTAACCGGGGGAATGTGGGTCGGGGAACCCGGGGCATGTGGGAAAGGGAACCCGGGGCATGTGGGAAGGGGAACCCCGGAAATGTGGGATGCAGAACCCGGGGAATGTGTGACGTGGAACCCACGGCATGTGAGACGGGGATCCAAGGGAATGTGGGACTTGGAACCCGGGGTATGTCGGAAGGGGAACTCTGGGGTATGCGGGATGGGGGACCCGGGGCATGTGGGAAGGGAACCCTGGGCATGTGCGACGGGGAACCCGGGGAATGTGGAACATTGAATCTCCGGGCATGTGGGAAGGGGAACCCCGGGGCATGTCGAAAGGGGAACCCTGGGGCATGTGGGACGGGGAACCCGGGGCATGTGGGAAGGGAACCCTGGGCATGTTGGATGGGGAACCCGGGGAATGTGGGACGGGGAACCCCGGGGCATGTGGAACGTTGAACCTCCGGGCATGTGGGATGGGGAACCCTGAGCATGTGGGACGGGGAACACCGGAAATGTGTCTCGCGGAACCCGGGGCACATGAGATGCGGAACCCGGGGCACATGAGATGCGGAACCCGGGGCCTGTGGGACGGGGAACCCGGGGCGTGTGTGAAGGGGAGCCCGGGACATGTGGGAAGGGGAGCCCGGGGCATGTGGGACGGGGAACCCGGGGCACGTGGGACTCGGAACCCGGGGCACGTGGGATGCGTAACCTGGGGAATGTGGGACGGGGAACACTGGGGCATGTGGGAAGGGGTACCCCGGGGCATGTCGGATGGGGACCCTTGGGGCATGTGGGAAGGGAACCCTGGGCATG